TGTCTTGGCTTACACAAGCAATAAGGATACTAATTAGTTTATGCAGTTCAAGATGCAAATTTTCAGGCCAGTTCCATTAGCTGTTCTCTAGTTGTAACTGTGCTCAGTTTTTTCTGACCTCTAGCCATAAACTGCCTTTCACTTTATCTAATCTATACCTTGTTTACAGAGGAGATTGAAAAAAAAAAATCTGTATCACTTCTGCTAGAAAGACTTAAAGCTCATGTCTATGATTATGATATTATTTCTGCAAACAAAAGATAGCATTAAGTACATGTGCACATACAGGGAGGTAGAAGGAAACCAAGTGCTTATTAGAGGCCAGTCTATTTAATTCTCTCAGTAGTTACGGAGTAGGTAGTGTTATGTTTATGTTTCAGGTAAATGAACTGAGGCTCAAGAAAAGTTAACTATATGTGTAGATCTGGTGATATTAAAATCCACCGTGACTTCCAAGATCAGTGTTCTTTTATACTAGGGAGTCTCAAAACTTTGTAGAAATAAAATAAAAATACAATAGAGGATAAATTGATACTGTCATACAAAACAATTTAAATGACTTCCCAGAATCAGTTGCTGAAATATTTATGTTATCCTGGGGTGAGGCACCAACAGTCTGTCTGACCACTGAGGTCAACAGCACGGCAGACCTTAACTAGCGCATAAAAGTGAAGGTTGCTGGAAAACAGAACAAATGCCTCAGTGATAATTTGACATCTCTATTAATGGTGATGACAAATTTTTGAAGAAGGGACTGGTTAATTAAAACATTTTTCTCACCTGGTATAGCTTAATATAGTTTCATAATATTTAATAGAAATGTTACTAAAACAGGCATGATTGGTACCATCTTTTAATTTTAGAGGCAGTAATTTAGGTAGAATTAACAAATACCAAAAATCAGTCTGATTAGTTGTCCATTGGTGACTGCTTCTGTGGCAAAGATGACAGAAAGACTCTCAAACATTGAACTCCTCTAAGTGAATTTACGAGGTTAAGATAACATTTTTGAAATAATGATCATGAAAAATGACATTGTGTAACATTTTTTCACTATTTCAGATGAGGCTGTGGACCCAGGCTAGACAGATGGGATGGTATGCAGCAAAGTGCATGGCTGCGGCGAGTTTAGGAGACTCCATTGACATGGATTTCAGCTTTGAACTGTTTGCTCATGTGACAAAATTTTTTAACTATAAGGTAAGATAGTTAAGCATATTAATGCCTTCTCTGCTTGTTAGTCTTATGACTATGGTAAATTGTCTAATTTTCTTGCTTGAATAAAAATGTACATAGTTTTAATCATCTTACAAAAAAATGACATTTTTCATTTCTTACAAACCAATACCTGGTATTATTGCTGGTCCTAATCCCTAATCATCTGATAATTATTATCTACCTTACTACTATTCTATTTTAGTTAAGAGGGGAAAAAAATTCTCTCCAGATCTGTTCCCTGTTGGTGCATTTTTAACTTTTACTTGTGATTCATCCTTTCTTTGTGAAGGGAACTAACAGCTATTGTACACAAAAATAAACCAAGTGCCTTCCTGTATGTATTATCTTATTCAGTCCTCTTTACATTACTCTGACGAAGGTTGTTTTGGGTTTTTCCCCCCCCCACTAATTTACAGAGAAGGAGAAATATACTCAAAAGGCTCAGGGAAATTAAGTCACTTGTCCATGAAAGCTGTAATTCAGTTCCTTGCCAAATCTTTAAACCACGACCCCACATCGTTTAATGTATCCACATCCTACATATTTATATATTCACTAGTTTTAATGTTCATATAGATTGGTAGAATCACCTACCTATATTCACTAGATATTTTTAGTGTTAAAACACTAATTAACATTAATTACTAATATTAATTAACATTAATTACTAATAAATAACATTAATATTTCACTATATTCACCAGAATTTTTTAGTGTCAGTGTAGATTGTGTGGCGGTGTCATCTGTAGAATTAATGCATGCTATTCAAACATTTTCTTTGGGACTGTCCCCAATAACATTTTTAGTTATAAAATTTTCTGGCATCATTTTTCTGCTGGCTATTCTAACATGACACAAAATAACTACCCATTACATTTTCTGTTTGATACTCATGACAATAACCTTTTTATCTCTATACATAGGTTGTACTGCTGGGAAAATACAATGCACAGGGCTTAGGTTCAGATCATGAATTAATGCTGAGATGTACCAAAGGACAAGAATACATCAAAGTCGTCATGCAAAATGGACGAATGATGGGAGCTGTCTTAATTGGTGAAACTGATTTAGAAGAAACATTTGAAAACCTAATCTTAAACCAAATGAATCTTTCATCATATGGAGAAGATCTACTAGATCCAAATATTGATATAGAAGATTATTTTGACTGAAAATGGAATTTCTTCAAGAATCATATAAAGTTCCAGATGACACCAGAAGAATCACAAGTCAATAAAATCAATGACTGCATTGAGTTAATGATGACCACACTGAAAATTACTGAAGTGATAATGGTATTAGTGGAAAAGTATAAAAACATAAATTCCAAGTTTGAAATCAGTTCAAATAGTTTATTTATAATCTTTCCAATACAGCACTGACCACTTAGATAAAAATCTTATTTATTTCTATGTTTTAAACATAAATATGTTTACTTGTGACTTAGCTTTGAAGCAAATTTAGCTAAGTTATCAACTTAGCCAAATGTACTCTAGTAGGCTAGAACCATTCTTTGTGAAATGTCAAAATATGACTGTGGTTTCAGGAACTTTAAAATCGGTTTTATTTTACTTTAAATAGAGATGTAGCAGTATCTCGTCTGCTAATATTTATATTGATGACTTACTCCTTTTTTGTTTGAATTGTACTTCTGGTTTTATAACCTGAAATCATCTTGTCCAACTCTAGCCCACGGGCCTAATGCAGCCCAGGACAGCTTTGAATGCAGCCCAACACAAATTTGTAAACTTTCTTAAAACATGAGATTTT